TGTTGGATTTCACATTGGTATCATGTTGAAATGATACGCTAAATCAACCAAGTTTGAGTTTTGTTGAGAGTTCGGATGATGCGAGTTTAGGCGAGCTGGAATCGGCAGTCAAGTACAGCTAGAATGAGATAACCTTTTGGGAAGCAAGACACATTGAACTTTAATGGCATCGTCAGACTTAATTGTGGAAAAATGCATCATTTTAAGCTACATGCGCTGGCTAGAACGCCTAATCTCACTGTCAGGCCTTGCTTTGGCTTTAACAAGTTATTTTTCGTTCGTAAATCGGCTTTCGAGACTACCAGAAAATAAGTTATATGAAATGTGCCCACCCTATTTCCTTTCGTGTGACGTAGTGGTAGTTGGATTTGCACACAATCATATGATTGGACCTTATTTTTCCAACGAATTTCACATTGTCCTGCTTCCCAAACAGTGTTCTCATCACGATTCAACTGCACCCGACGGAAGTTCGACCTCGCCCCAGGCAGGACTTGGAACATGACAGCACAGCGTGTCATCTCGACCCGTTAACCGCTACGCCACACTTCCACGAGTGCCCTTGGCTCACAGGACAGATGTAAATTCCAAGGAAGGACACGTCTTAGCCCATGTCACATTCTGGGATGGGATTGTCGATGAAGCAAAGTTATATTTGTCATAACTATCGATTACATTACTTATTTTTCGTTTATAAGTAGTGTTTCGAGTCTACCAGTAAATCGGTTATATGAAATCTATTCAGCCCGCTTCGTTGAATGCACTGTAGTCGATTTTCACTGGCAGAAATGAGTCATACTAAATGCCCGAACCTGCTTGAAATGTACGTTCCTTCTCTGACCCAACAGCATCTGTGGTCAGTGTGTCAAGATGATATGCTAGATTAGCACAACTCGAGTTCGAGTCCCGCTAACGGTGCTGACGAGCCCAATTCAGGCGAGTTGGGATACTGGTGAGATGATAATACCGTTTTGGAAGCAAAGCTGCGACTTTTAGTGGAAACAACAAGTTTAGACACCTGATTGTGAGAAAATCCAACCGCCAGTCCTTTATCACACTCAATGAAATATGTCACATTTACCGGTA